GATGTATAGACTCCAGAGAGAGAGATATCCTTTCCCCCGGTACAAATCATTAGTAAGACCTCATCTGGAATATGCAGTTCAGTTTTGCGCACCAATTCACAAAAAGAACATTGGGGAACTGGAGAAAGTACAGAGAAGGGCAACCAAACTGATAAGAGGCATGGAGGAGCTCAGCTATGAGGAAAGATTAGAGGAACTGAATTTATTCTCTCTTGAGAAGAGGAGATTAAGGGGGGATATGATCACCATGTATAATACATAAGGGGGATATGATCTCCATGTATAATACATAAGGGGGGATATGATCTCCATGTATAATACATAAGGGGGATATGATCTCCATGTATAATACATAAGGGGGATATGATCTCCATGTATAATACATAAGGGGGATATGATCTCCATGTATAATACATAAGGGGGGATATGATCAACATGTATAATACATAAGGGGGGATATGATCACCATGTATAATACATAAGGGGGGATATGATCTCCATGTATAATACATAAGGGGATATGATCTCCATGTATAATACATAAGGGGGATATGATCTCCATGTATAATAATACATAAGGGGGGATATGATCTCCATGTATAATACATAAGGGGGATATGATCTCCATGTATAATACATAAGGGGGGATATGATATCCATGTATAATACATAAGGGGGGATATGATATCCATGTATAATACATAAGGGGGGATATGATCACCATGTATAATACATAAGGGGGGATATGATCTCCATGTATAATACATAAGGGGGATATGATCTCCATGTATAATACATAAGGGGGGATATGATCTCCATGTATAATACATAAGGGGGGATATGATCACCATGTATAATACATAAGGGGGGATATGATCTCCATGTATAATACATAAGGGGGGGATATGATCTCCATGTATAATACATAAGGGGGGGATATGATCTCCATGTATAATACATAAGGGGGGATATGATCTCCATGTATAATACATAAGGGGGGATATGATCTCCATGTATAATACATAAGGGGGGATATGATATCCATGTATAATACATAAGGGGGGATATGATCACCATGTATAATACATAAGGGGGGATATGATATCCATGTATAATACATAAGGGGGGATATGATCACCATGTATAATACATAAGGGGGGATATGATCTCCATGTATAATACATAAGGGGGGATATGATCTCCATGTATAATACATAAGGGGGGATATGATCTCCATGTATAATACATAAGGGGGGATATGATCACCATGCATAATACATAAGGAGGGATATGATCACTGTGTATAATACATAAGGGGGTTATGATCTCCATGTATAATACATAAGGGGGATATGATCTCCGTGTATAATATATAAGGGGGGATATGATCTCCATGTATAATACATAAGGGGGGATATGATCTCCATGTATAATACATAAGGGGGGATATGATCTCCATGTATAATACATAAGGGGGGATATGATCACCATGTATAATACATAAGGGGGATATGATCTCCGTGTATAATACATAAGGCGGGATATGATCTCCATGTATAATACATAAGGGGGGGGGGGGAGGATCTCCATGTATAATACATAAGGGGGGATATGATCAACATGTATAATACATAAGGGGGATATGATCTCCATGTATAATACATAAGGGGGGATATGATCACCATGTATAATACATAAGGGGGATATGATCAACATTTATAATACATAAGGGGGGATATGATCTCCATGTATAATACATAAGGGGGGATATGATCTCCATGTATAATACATAAGGGGGGATATGATCAACATGTATAATACATAAGGGGGGATATGATCAACATGTATAATACATAAGGGGGGATATGATCTCCATGTATAATACATAAGGGGGGATATGATCACCATGTATAATACATAAGGGGGATATGATCAACATGTATAATACATAAGGGGGGATATGATCTCCATGTATAATACATAAGGGGGGGATATGATCACCGTGTATAATACATAAGGGGGGATATGATCACCGTGTATAATACATAAGGGGGATATGATCTCCATGTATAATACATAAGGGGGGATATGATCTCCATGTATAATACATAAGGGGGGATATGATCTCCATGTATAATACATAAGGGGGGATATGATCAACATGTATAATACATAAGGGGGGATATGATCTCCATGTATAATACATAAGGGGGGATATGATCACCATGTATAATACATAAGGGGGGATATGATCAACATGTATAATACATAAGGGGGGATATGATCTCCATGTATAATACATAAGGGGGGATATGATCACCGTGTATAATACATAAGGGGGGATATGATCACCGTGTATAATACATAAGGGGGATATGATCTCCATGTATAATACATAAGGGGGGATATGATCTCCATGTATAATACATAAGGGGGGGATATGATCACCATGTATAATACATAAGGGGGATATGATCTCCATGTATAATACATAAGGGGGGATATGATCTCCATGTATAATACATAAGGGGGGATATGATCTCCATGTATAATACATAAGGGGGGGATATGATCTCCATGTATAAATACATCAGTGGTCCATATAGTGAACTCGGTGTAGAGCTATTCACCCTGAGGTCATCACAGAGGACAAGGGGCACTCTTTACGTCTGGAGGAAAATAAATTTAATCTCCAAACACGAAAGGTTTCTTCACAGTGAGAGCTGTGAAAATGTGGAATAGACTCCCTCAAGAGTTGGTTCTGGCCAGCTCAGTGGATTGCTTTAAAAAATCCTGGATTATTTCTTGGATACACAGAATATAACTGGATATAACATTTATAGGTAAAGTTGATCCAGGGAATATTCGATTGCCTTTGGGGGGATCAGGAAGGGATTTTTTCCCCTGCAGGAGCAAATTGTATCATGCTTTGCTGGGTTTTTTGCCTTCCTCTGGATGAACTGTGGGTGTAGGATTATAACCTTTTTATTTTATGCTTGAACTGGATGGACTTTTGTTGTTTTTCAGCCAGACTAACTATGTAACTACATGCAAAGATATCTTCTCTAGCCTGTACAGCTGCTCCCAGCTCAACAGCCTGCAAACAAGACTAGCCCTCCTGGCTGCTCAGGATAATCTCCTGGGAAAAGGATAATGGATTAAGCCCAGCGCTGTTCTTAGAAAGCTTGCTACGTGTGCCAGTCTTTCCCCTTGTAGATCCCAGAGAGTGCTGCTCTACTCACTCTGTCCTCTTTGCTCCATGCTGCTCCAGGTCTCAATGTATCCTCCCGAGCCAGCCCGAGCCTGGCCTGGAGGCTGGGACCCCTCCCAGGCACTGACAGTCTGCTCAGAACTCCAGTGGGTCAGTCCACCACTCTATCAGGGCCTCCAAACCTGGGATTGGCCGGCCTCCCATGAACAATCAGATTAGGTCTCCACCCCTTCCTCCTTAGCGACTTCTGGAAGGTTCTAGGGTCCTCCAGAGTCAGGAGGAGGCAATAGAGCCACAATCTGTTGAGTCATCCAGCTGACCTGCAATAACCCAACCTCAATCACAGACTCACACAATTACCATGAGTCTTACATAATAATTTTACCTATGATACACTACACTATTGTACTGATTACTCGCTGTCACCTAGTAATCGCCGAGTAATACCGACGACGGGAGAGAACTGTATGTAAACAATACAGATCTCTCACCTGTCAGCTCCAGCATACTGCTTTGTATGGCTCTGCATAGCAGAGCCATACAAAGCAACCTGCTTACAGTTGGAATCACAGGCACAGCACCCATACTAAAATAAACACAGCACACAGTTAACCCTTTGATCGCCCCTCATGTTAACCCCTTCCTGTCCAGTGCCATTAGTTCAGTGTTAGTGCTTTTTATTAGCACTGTTCATTGTATTGGTGTCACTGGGGATGCAAGTGACACCAAGTCAGTTCCCCCCAGTGTCAGAATGCCCGCCGCAGTCCTGCTATGAGATTGCCGCCATTACTAGTAAAAGAAAAGAATAAAATTCCAGTATCTATACTGCCATTTGTAAATGCTATAACTTTCATGTAAACCAATTAATTTACACGTATTGTTTTTTTTTATAGCAAAGACATGTGGCAGAATACATTTTGGCCTAAATTTATGACAAAATTAAATTATAAAAATTTTTTTAATTGGACATGTTTAATAGTAAAAAAGTAAAAAATATTGTTTATTTTCTCAACATTGTCGGTCTTTTCTTGTTTATAGTGCAAACAAAAATAAAATAAAGCACAGGTGATTAAATACCACCTAAAGAAAGCTCTATTTGTGGGAAAAAAAAGGACGTAAATTTAATTTGGGTGCAGCATCGCATGACCGCACAATTGTCAGTTAAAGTAACGCAGCGCCGTAACGCAAAAAATGGCCTGGTCAGGAGGGGGGGGGGAAATCCTCAGGAGGGCAAGTGGTTAACCCCCTGGGGAGTATCTCACCAAAACTGCAGGGAATGCCTACAATCTGACTTTCTGATTCTGAATCGCAGAATGGATAAGCCAATCAAACAAGCAGTAAATTACATTTCATCCAGATTGCCACATTGGATTAAAATCTACAGGACATTTACAGTGGTGGCAGATTGAAGAGGAAAGGTCATTTTTAATAACATTAAATTACAACATGGCTTGTATAGTATTATATATGATGTATCATTTTTTTATTTCCTCGATTTTTTGCTCACAAAAGTGGAATTATCCTGTAAGCTGGCTATACATTGTTAGATCTCTTTCATTCAGCCTGTGGGCTAACAGATTCATCCATCCATGCTAAACAGCGCAGATGACAAATTCCTTTGCTTGGCAATTGTCCCAGCACCAGCTGTTAGAATTCATTTCGACAGGGCCGTAGACAATTTTTCTTTCTTGGAGGGGGAAGGGGGGGTGGTTCAGCTTGCAGCTGAGCTGTGTAGTAGCACCCACCAAACACTACCCATTCTTATGACCAGGGGTGGACTGACAGCTCATGGGGCCCCTGGGCAATAAGGGATCATGGGGCCCCTGTGTCCTTGCCCAAACTCAAAAAAGCGTATGAAAAAGGTACCAGGGGCATCTCATGGTGCCCCCTACTGACCCTGGGCCCTCGGGCAGTGCCTGAGTTTCCAAATGGTCAGTCCGCCCCTGCTTACGACACATGTTCAGAGTTTAGAGATCTAAAAACACCAGTGAGTGCACTGCCTACCACAATATGGTGCCTTTAGGATTCCAATATGGTGACCCATAGGATTTAACCTCCCTAGCGGTCTGATTATTTCAGTATTTCTGTGCTCAAACCGGCACATTTTTTGCATGGAAATATGTCATTTTTTTATTGTAGGCCTTTAATTTTTAGGAATAACTCACTGAAATCTGTCCGAACAAGAGTCTAGTAAACATTCCGGATATGATAAAATTTGAAACACAAAATCATAAATTATAATATAATAAATAATCATACAAATAATAATAATATAATACTAAATGTAATTCAATAATGTAATTAAACCAAAAACACTGAAATGTGAAATATAGCGCCAAGTTCGCACATCGCTGAGCAAAGTCGCAAAATCGTTTTCAGTGGCTAATGAGGAATTTCCCCACAAATCATTATCACTCAATTCTGCAAGTGGTTCTGATTTACTATCGCTGTTCTCTAGCTGGTCTAAAACCGCTTTTGACCTAAAGGGACACTTTTTGGACACCATGGACATTTCTCAGTTTCCAGGCAGAAAGAACAGTAAAAATGCAGGCAGGGCGCAGGACAAAGCACTCGGGACAAAATGTATGTGAAATGGTTTGATACAGAAATGTAATACTATCAAATTTTAGTGTATTTAGTGAATGGAAAATTTTTACATTTTTGAAATTCCTGCTGGTTCCGGCCCCCATATGTACCCATACGTACGAACGCTCGCAGGGAACGGAACCCAGAAGACAGCATCGCCCGGAGGAGATGGCTGGGGACGCTGCAGGGGGGACATCGCGGGAGTGCAGGACAAGGTAAGTGTTGGAGGGATCCCAGAGCAACACTGCAGTGTATTCCCGAGTGTAGCTGGGGGTTACTACTTCTTGTACTGAAAGTTAACCCCGGCTACACTTGGGAATACTGCCAGGGGGGTTAAAGGGAAATATTTTTCTTGCATTCTATCTTCCTTTTTTAGCAAGGTAAAAAATGCAGGAAAAACGCATCAGTGTGAAAGCAACCTAACATTTGATAGCAGCCAAGCCATCCTTACTGTGCAATCTTACCTAAGCATTGCAAAAAGGCACCATATTGTGGTAGGCAGTGCATTGAGCACTCACATCTTTTTATAACACATTCTAATTGAAAGTTTGGAAAAAAGAGGTAGACTACCTGCCACAAATATTATTATTATTATTATACAGGATTTATATATTATTATTATTACACAGGATTTATATATTATTATTATTATTATATATATTATTATTATTATTACACAGGATTTATATATTACATTATTATACAGGATTTATATTATTATTATTATACAGGATTTATATATTATTATTATTACACAGGATTTATATATTATTATTATTATACAGGATTTATATATTATTATTATTATACAGGATTTATATATTATTATTATATTTATATATTATTATTATACAGGATTTATATAGCGCCAACAGTTTGCTCAGCACTTTACAATATAACGGGAGACAATACAGCAACAATACAGTTCAATACAAGAGGGATAGGAGGGCCTGATCCTGGGAGCTTACATTCTAGGATATGGTGCTTTTTCCACCTGATTATTGAAGAGGTGCAAAGAGCACCATGATAGGGTGGCAGGGTACTGGAGTTTGAATCTTTCAATCAGAATATGTGTTCTAAGAAGCTGTGAGTGCTCAACGCATTGCCTACCATATATTGGTGTCTGCACTAGGGCTGGGAGACATGTTGGGCCAGGGCACTGAGGACAGACATGTGGTGCCAAATCAGAGGGCAGGGGGCATCAGCAAAGAAAAAGTCACAGTCACTTACCTATGTATAACAGAGGTGGCTGGGCCTGGGTGGTAAGAGGTTGCAACAGATGACTTTGAGGCCGAGGGACTAATGTATCCTTCAGTTCAGGCTCCTTGCACTGCAGAAGGCACTGCCAAGCACTGGTAGGACTGCCAGGCAACCGATGGAGTAATCTGTCAACTGGGCCAACCATGTACAGCTGGGGTCCCCCCTTACATTGATAGGGGGATAGATCAGGGTACCCAGTGTTACCTCCTTACATCAGAGCCCCCCCTTTCAGTAGGGTTCCCCAGAGTTCCTGCTTTCATTAGGGTCCCCCTTTAAATCAGGACCCCCAGAGACCTCCCACTTACATCAGAGCCTTCAAAGTTCCCCCTCACATTAGAGTCCCCCCTTCATTAGGGTCCCAGAAGTCCCCCCTCCTCACATCAGTGTCCCCATAGTTACCCCCCTTATACCATGATCCCCAGAGTTCCCCCTTACATCAGAGTCCCCCTCTCATTTGGGTCCCCAGAGTCACCCCCTCACATCAGGGGTCCCCAGAGTCTCACCTCCTTAAATCAGGGTCCCCAGAATTCTCCCTTACATCAGAGTCCCCCCTTTCATTAGGGTTCCCCAGAGTTCCCGCTTTCATTAGGGTCCCCCTTATATCAGGATCCCCCAGAGACCCCCACTTACATCAAAGCTCCCAGAGTTCCCCCTCACATTAGAGTCCCCCCTTTCATTAGGGTCCCAGAAGTCCCCATCCTCACATCAGTGTCCCCAGAGTCACCCCCCCCCTTATACCATGATCCCCAGAGTTCCCCCTTACATCACAGTCCCCCGCTTTCATTAGGGTCCCCCTTATATCAGGATCCCCCAGAGACCCCCACTTACATCAAAGCTCCCAGAGTTCCCCCTCACATTAGAGTCCCCCCTTTCATTAGGGTCCCAGAAGTCCCCCTCCTCACATCAGTGTCCCCAGAGTCACCCCCCCCTTATACCATGATCCCCAGAGTTCCCCCTTACATCACAGTCCCCCTCTCATTTGGGTCCCCAGAGTCCTCCCTCCTCACATCAGTGTCCCCAGAGTCACCCCCTCACAACAGGGGTCCCCAGAGTCTCACCTCCTTAAATCAGGGTCCCCAGAATTCTCCCTTACATCAGAGTCCCCACTTTCATTATGGTGCCTAAAGTCACCCTCCTTACATCAGAGTCCTCCCCCCCTTTCATTAGGATTCCCAAAGTCTCACACTTACATCAGGGTCCCCACAGCCCCTCCCCTTGCATCAGGGTCCTTAGAGTTCCCCCTCCTTAAATCAGGGTCCCTGAGCCCCCCGTACATAAAGGTCCCCAAAGTTTCTTCTCCTTAAATCAGGGTCCCCAGAGTCCCCCCCCCAACATTAGGGTCCCAAAAACCCCCACCTCAATAAATCAGGATCCCCTTTACATTGTGGTCTCCAGAGTCCCCCCACATTATGCACATCAGGATCCCTATAGCCCCTCCCCTGATATCAGGGTCTCCAGAGCCCCCTTCCTAAATCAGGGTCCCAAAAGTCTCCCTAATACATCAGGGTCAGTCCTGTACATCATGGTCTCCAGAGTCCCCCCCACTTTACATCATGATCCCCATAGACCCTCCCTTTACATCAGGGTCTCCCACAACCCCCCTCCTTAAATCAGAGTCCCAAGAGTCCCCATCCCTTACATCAGGGTCCCCAGAGTTACCCCCCCTACATCAGGGTTCCCCTTTACATCATGGTCTCCAGAGTACCCCCACCCATAGACCCTACCTTACATCAAGGAACCCAGAGACCCAGATCCCTCTCTTTAAATCAGGATCCCCAGAGTTCCCCCCAATACATCAGGGTCCCCTTTCAAGGTCTTCAGAGTACTCCCGTCTTACATCAGGATTTCCTAGAGCCCATTCTCTTTATTTTGGGTCCTGAAAATTCCCCCTGCCCTACATCAGGATCCCCCAAACCTCCCTTACCTCAGGGTCCATTTCTTCTTATTCCTAAAGGAATCACATTCTTGCCCCTCCCCCACTAGTGCTGAGAACACTGGGCAGCAGCATAGCGGTAGATGCGCGTCAGCCAGCTTGTTTTCTCAGAGAGCTCTGCTGCACAGCCTTCGCTATTGGTAAGACTGAGTGGCACGGCTCCAGGCAGTGTTCGGGGGGGTTCAGACACCCCTACCCCCCCCCCTTATCTACGTCCTTGCATTTCAATGTGCTTTCTAATCCTAGTTATAGGTATTGACCTGTTCACCTCACTTCCTGCTGCGGCCGATCCAACAACAGCTATGAAGGAGAAGGCTGATTCTTAGCACAACTTGTGCCAGCTCTGAGCACTTTTATGAGACAAGAAATGGCAAAAGGAATGCAGATGCTGACATGTCCCCCCCCCTCTGCATTCTTCTTGCCGTTGTTTGTTCATTTGCTAGCTGCAGCTATGAATCAGCCATCTCCTTCTTAGCTGTTGTCAGATTGGCCATGGCAGGTGCTGAGGGGGCAAGTCAGTTCTCATAACTAAGATTAGAAAGCACTTGGAAACATGGGACAAAGTATTACATGAATTTCATCCTGCAGGAGACAGAACTGACAAATAAAAATCATAATGATTTATTGATATATCTGGGGGGTGGGGTGCGGGTTGCTATATGCTTTCCTTTCCATTGGGTCCACATCCAGGAATCATATGGAGTAACTATCTGCACTTTAACCCGCATGAGAGGCCGTTCATCTGAAATGATATGCCTTGTCTACCATGTTCTGCAGGCAAGTTTCTTGGCAGATGAGCCATGCACAGTTTATTCCACCACCTGCAGTTTACACCTCCAAGTTCATTCTGGCTATGTGCAAAAGCTTTGTAGGAGTCCTTTGGGTGTCCATGTTGGGTTGGAGTTGCATTCTAGTGTTTCCCTCTAGGGATCTCTATTGTCTTCCTAGTTGTAGGTATTAAATACAAGAAAGGGTGGAGCCCAGGGAGTTATTGGTAAGACAGAGAGAAGTAGGATTTGGAGAGTGTTTAGGTCTCTCTGGCTTCATTCTGGCTATGTACAAGGAGTGTGTAGGGCTCCTTTTGGTGCCTATGTTGGGTTGG